CACACAGTAAAAAACGAAGTGTCAATTTAACACCTATAGAGTTGAATTTAACTCCGTTTCAGATAACATTTGGTCCCACTCGAAAATAGTGTAAAATGTACTCTATGGCCAGTGTCAAATTTTCAGAGTTAATTTGACTCATTTTAGTGTCAAAATCAACAAGTCAATGAGTCAAATTATTTAACACTATTGTTTGTTTACACTCTTCAGAGTAATACTGTTATTTTTATGGAGTTAATTTTACACTAAATTTACTTAAACTTTTACACTTTATTGTGTTGTTTTTTTTTTATTTTTTCTCCAGTTTTTTACACATATATAATGTTAATTCTTAGCATTATATGGCTTTTATAAAACCTACCAGTCATAATAATCACAAAGTTATAAGTTCACAGTGACATTTATTCAACTTTATGATCCAGGGACATAATTACTGTAACAGTGTCAGTTTAATCATCTTCAAAACAATGTTCACCAAAGATAGCAATATGGGACAACAAAGAGAGCAGTGTCATTTGCTCTATATGAGACGTCTATGTCAAAGGGCTTCAGATAACATAGATATTTGACATCAAACAACAAAACCTTGCATAGTTTTAATAACTTCATAAGCATAAAAATGTTCATGAAAAGTTACTGTACATATGTCACACTAATGGAGCATTCTTGCTCTCAACTCTGCAACTCTGGGTGTTTCCTTCGTTTCTCCAACATCTATGTTGTAAACAGTTGTTTGGAGAAAGGCGAATAAGTTGGTCAAGGGAGCACTGTATGACGTACCAAACACATAACAGGCCTTAAAGAGCTCAAGAGCTCCAACTGAACATGTTGCCTTACATGGAATAGCATAGATGTCAATCACAATGAAGAATGAGTGAATACTGCTTTGGATGGATCCCTGGGCCAGGAGGTAGGGCTGGATTTGTTGCTTAATTTTGTCAAGATGCTGCTGCACACTGGTTCCAACCTACATTAAAAAAATAAATAAAAACATGACAAAAGTATTTAGTGACAAATTTCTGAATGAAGATCAGACAGAATCAAATTTTGAATTGTAAAAATGAAGAGACTGAATTATGCATTTTTATCTTAAAACTGTTTAGCAGTACCTTTAGAAATCTGATGAGGTGATCCACTGCTTGAGATGCAGACATCTTACCCGGCCTCTTTCGTCCTTGTGCAGATGGTGGTAGCAGATGCAGTAGAAGCAAAATAGCAGACATGTCACTATCCCAACCTACAGAGCAACAGCTTCAGGTTACCATCATCCCACTAACATATGAATTTGTCACAATTACCTGGAAGACCAACATAGCCAACTCTGCATTCCCCAATAAATCCAAGAGCTCAGTGCTGGGTTCCAGGCCATGGCTTTCCTTTATGACCTTGGATTTGAGACTGGTGGGCCACTTCTCCAAAAATGTGTTGGCAGTGCCTTCACCAAACAGGAGTCTGAAATCTTGTTCTACCTGAAATGCATAAATAAAAGCATTTCACACAGTGATAAGACGGTAAATGGCCTGTACTTGTATAGTGCTTTATGAAGTCCAGAGGACCCCAAAGTGATTTACACCACATTTAGTCATTCACATGCTGATGGTGGTGAGCTACATTGTAGCCACAGTTGCACAAGGGAAGACTGACATAAGCAATGCTGCCATGTGCCACCAGGCTTTCTGAACACCACCAACAGGCAAGCCAGGTGAAGTGTCTTGGCCAAGGGGAAAACCGTTTAGAAAGAGTTGTGGTTTAAACTGGTAATACACAGGTTACAGGACAGGGTTACAGGATTGTTGCCACTGAATATTTTAGTAGTGTAAGAGATAAAGCTGTCTTACCAGTCCTGGTGTGTCCAGAAACCGAGGAAAGACAGAGAAGACATTTGTTGCTTTCTTTTCATCATTGACCATTGAATGACGGTAATGGAAGGTCGCCTTCATCTTCTCACGGACCATGTCATCATCAGCAGAGTGTTTCAAAACAGCAATAGCTGCTTCCACTTCCTCATCTGACAGCACTTTGTCAGCAGTGAAAACCCTGGAGTGACCATCGCCTGGTCCACCACCTAAAAAAAAAAGTTTCTCTCAGCCACAGATTTTATATTACTTTACATATACTCACTATTGAGAAAACTTACTTTTGGGAGATTTGCTACCTGAGGCACCTCTTTCCTCTGCAGTTTTTCTTTGAATGGTCTTTAAACGCCATGCAAGGTATCCTGAACCGCTGTCTGGATCATAGTAAAGCTCCTATGTCAATAAATACAAGCAGACTTACCATTCCATAAACATCTTTGAAGGTAAATATATATGCTTAATGTTGCTAAGACCCTTTTACTTACATATTCATGTTTTGAAAATGGGTCTTCCAGATAAGGAAATAAGGCAACGATCCCCTGAGCATACATCACTCTGACGCTTTTAGGAGGGGATGATCTGATGAAACAATGAGTCACTAAACTGACATTTGAAAAAATAATGAAAAACAATTCAAAACAAAATGTTTCTTTATAGCCTCAGTGTATGATTCTTACACATGTGCTTCTGTCATTGCAGCTGTAAGGATGTTTAGCATCTGTCTTCTGGTTGCATCTGTCCAGCATTTAGTTCTTGCATACTCTTGCATGATTCGCTCACCACCACCAGGCTTTGTTGTCAAGATTTTTTTCAATCAACTTCAACTTCAAAGAAAAAAAAACAAACTCTTGA